AGTGTGACATGGAGATGGGCAAAGTAGGATAAGGGAGCCAGGACTGGTGCTGTCTCCTTAGATCTGGAGGCTCTCGCTCTCCTAACTCCAGACGCATGGGGGCCTGGTTTGTGGGTGGTTCTGTTTCCTCCTATTCCAGTTGTGTATTTTGCCTCCTCCAGCCTTGCCTGTGCCAACACGGAGGCAGAAAATTTAGTCACCGGCCCTTAACCTGGTCCTTGTGAATGCTAACGTGTAGGCTTAGCACTCTGAGGGTTCAGGGCTGTGTGTTCAGGTATTGGTGGCACGGACTCCATTGTCTGCTGGGTTCCCTATTGCCCCGATGTGTCAAGTGTGTGTGTGAGGAATCAGGGTGAGGCCTAGGGCAGAAAAATGGAAGCTCTGGAGACAGATGGTCGACCTCATGAGGTTACTTGCCACATCTGTGCCTCATTTTCTTCTCTGTAAAATGGGGATGGACAACAGCAGTACCTCATGGGATTATTGTGAGGGTTAATTAAGGTAACACATGATGCACCTAGTTCTGAGCCTGGCATATAGATAATCCTCACAAAATTAACTGTTAGCCTGAACGATCACAGATATCTGGGTGTGTGAGTGCATCTGTGAATGGTTGTCTGGTTGGGAGTTATTTGTACTGTTATATCTGTAATGCAATTTGTGAGCAAGAGAGAGTGTGTGTGTAATTAGTTTTGTGTGGTAGTGTGCCTGACTCTGTGTTATTTGCTGTAGGTGTGTGATTTGTGTTAGTGTGCACGTGTGATGAAATGACTGTGTAAGCCTGTGTCTGTGTGACAAAGAGTGGATGAAGTGTGGCTTCATGGCTGTTGACACACTGACATCGTGTCTGCTGGTGTATGCATGCATCTGTGATCTTGTCAGTTCCAAACACCCCATTTACCCTCCCTCCCCATGGGATGTCATAATCCTAGGTGTTCCTCATTTCCTCACCCTGAAGGAACCGGAAACCTGGGGGCACACGTGGGGGTGGGTGCCAATGGGGAGGTAGACAGGAGCACATGTTCCATCCCAGACTGTGTATGGGAGGGGGAGCCCCCTATCTTGCACATATCCTAAAAGCTTCGGGGGAAGTGCTCCCCCTCCATCCCATGCTCAGTTCCCTGTCTTGTTACCATGGCAGCAGTTGCCAGGGGCTCCCTTGGTTGCTAAGATCTGGGTGTGGGAGGCTGCCAGGCACTGTTGCCAGTAGAAACAGTACCCTGGGGGAAAGGAAGACTACCCCCACAGCTGCCAGCTCTCTGCAGTGACAGGACTAGCTAGCCCTTTGACTTCTCCGGTCCCCAGATTGTACTTGTGATTTGTATGTGACAGTATTAGGGTTGGTAGGGAGCTTTAATAGGAACTAGAATACTGAGATTTACCTTCTGAGGAGAGAGGGGGCCCTAGCTTGCCCATTACTATCTTTAAGGTTGGGAGGCCTTTAGAAATTAGTGACTACCTCATTCTGTCCCCCGTACCTTATATTTATCCCCTGGCAATATCTGTGCTGCGTTTTCCAGTGCTGGTGCTTATCACCTGATGCTTCCACCTGGAACAGGAACGCTACATTGATCCCATTACCTTGGATGCAGACTGACTTCTTCCTGAGGTCAGACCCATAGCATCTCACCTGGATACATACTTCATGCTGACACCTGAGCCTAGACTTCAGTCCCACACTGAGTCCTAATTTTGGCCTTAGTCTTAGTCCTGAACCAGACAGTTCGCCAAACCCAGCCTTAGTGTGAGCCCTCCTCCTAGACATGAATGAGCCCTCATCTAGATACAGATTTTCGAACTCATCCGAAGATTCAGTTCTGATCCTCCTGTACTTTGATTGGACAATGACCAGCGATCTAACGCTCTGGTACTTGTCTGGCATCTCGCTGCATGTTCTGAATCTATACTGACCTGTACCATAAGGGCTCAAGGGGTCATTTCTTGCCTTGGTTGAGAGGACAGTGCAAGGAATGACCAGCAGAGGGCGTGCAACATCAGGTCCTTGCAGTGGTTCTCAACCTTCTGGCCCTTTAAATACAGTTCCTCATGTTGTGACCCAACCATAAAATTATTTTCGTTGCAACTTCATAACTGTAATGTTGCTACTGTTATGAATAGTAATGTAAATATCTGATATGCAGGATGGTCTTAGGCGACCCCTGTGAAAGGGTCATTCGACCGCCAAAGGGGTCACGACCCACAGGTTGAGAACTGCTGGTAAAGGTTGAACTAAATAAATTAAAGTTCCTAACTCAGTTATGCTGATGCTTTGGGGGTCATGTAGGTTTGTACAATCATGGATCTCCCTACAGCTCAGCTGGGCTCAGGGCTGGACACTCACCAGAAGGTACTTAACCATTTCCTGGCATCATAGGTCTCAAGAGTACTGGATACCTGGATGGCATCCTCCTCCCCAACGAACACTTCTTTGATATGCTCACACCGCTTCACTGCCTTTGCTGATACACAGTTAGCGTGTAGTCCCACTGAGCAGAAATCTGCCTCTACTCCGTCTTTGGTCTTAGCTCTGTGTTTGAGGTCACATTGCCCTTATAGGTCCCATCTGCCAGGTATCAGCCTCTGCATCCCTCACGTCTGCTCCTCTCCAGGCTGAACACCCCTCAGGCCTTCATGGGTTCCTCTCTGCTTTGTTCCGTTCCAGGCACTAAGACCATGCTCCCCTGTCTGGGTTTCAGTCTGTGGAGCCTGATTTAGCTTTTAGATTTTTTTTTCTCTCGCATGCCAGTGCAGTGTACAAGTAAGCCAGCTTGCTCTCTCCTCTGACTCGGACTCCGTTCCATGTAGCCTCAGGTTATATCAGTCTTTTTGTAGCCACTAATACTGTTCACCCGTACCAAGTGAAGACTGCAACATCTTTTCTCTCTGAGCTGCTAAATCACATCTTGCCCATTTGTACCGGTTATTATTTTGAAAGGAGTGTTATATTGACTTTAAAAACAAAGATACTTGAAACAAATGAAATAAAAACATTTTGGCAATATGTTTTGAGTTTCAGGGCAATCCCTGGGCTTGGAAATCTCACTGTGATGCTTACTTAAAGGTGAGACAAGGAGGAACCGAAGTGCTCACTTTGGCAGCACATATACTAAAATTGAGATGATATAGAGATTAGCATGGCCCCTGTGTAAGGATGACACACAAATTTGTGAAGTATCCTATATTTTTGCTTTTGATAAATGTTAAAATGTAAGACTGTAAATTAAGTTTATTTATGAATAAATTAGTATATTACAAAAGAAAAAAAAGAGGGACTGAAGAGTCCCAGCTGGCTTGGCTGTGGCTTCAGCACTGTGGACAGAGGCCATGGTCATACCCCGAGCCATGCCTGTGGGTGGGTAGGAAAATGATATACAGTAGCTTTCAGATGGGGCCAGAAATCCGTGCTGCTCACTCAGTGCCTTGCAGTGTATGAAGCTTTCCTCTTATCTAACTCATCCTATCCTCACTCAGCTATCAGCCTGGGAGGCAGACAGAAGAGAGACTATTTTCTAGATGTTTACAGATGAGGAAACTGAGGTTTAACAATGTCAAACTTCAAGTAACTCTTTGGGTGGGGTGGGACAGAGAACACATTACTCCATGATTAGCAAATTTAGCAGCTGCTGTTTCCCTTGGGGCAATGACTTTCCCTAGAGAGAAGAGGAGTGCACTTGAGTCAACGAAGGCCGGGTGGGTGGGAGTTTGTGTGGAACCAAGGCTCCAGCCAGCCCTAGGAACATGTGGGCGGTTGGTAGGAGGCTTCTGAGGGTCTGAAGTTCCAGTCAGGACTGCCGGAGAGAGGGTAGGGAAATCTTGTCATTTGGGTGTCCACAGAGGCCCAGCTTTCATGCCTTCTTCTGTCCCAGTGCTTTGCTTCCCTGAGCCTGGAGAAAGGACAAGGGACCTGTGAGATGTTACTAAGCTGTCTCTGAGCTGGACGGACCTCCATGGGAAACTCCAGGGAGGAGAGGTATGGGAACCCGTGAATGAATGGGTTGAGCTGTGCAGGTGGTAAGAAATCCTGTGACGTGGCTATGGGCCTGGCTACTTGTATCTGTCTGTTCCCAGCAGGTAGGAAGGGGAGGTGCTGGACCACACAGCAGCTGTGTGTGTGAGGTGTACGTTAGGCAGAGGCCATTGGCTGTACCCCAGCTGTGCCTGGAACTGTGGGCAGGTGAAGAACATGGGTATGAAGTCCGACTACCTGGTTCCCTGCTTCCTACCTGCGTGACTATAACCTTGAGAGACTTTCAGCATCACTGTTCCTCACTTTTCTCGTCTGTAATACAAGTCTCATAGGGTTGTTTCGAAGAGGAATTACTTTATGCAAAGTGCTTAGAACTTCCCAGTGCGTAAAAATGTTAACAATTATTTGTATTTGGCTTGGAGGCAGAAAACCTGCCCCTGAGCCACAGACTGGAGATGCTTTCCTGCTACAGGTACTGGTTGTGTTCTTACCGGGTAAAGACATGAGTGGGGAGTCCATCGTCCTCTGAAACAGTTTCTCCAGACTGCAGTTAACCAACCCTATTATGTCACATTAAAACAACTAGCAAGAATGGGTAAGAAACTCTCAGACCAAGGAGGGCCCAGAAGACCAGGAGAAAACACAGCCAACTAGCTTCCCTACTTGTAGCTCAGCAGGAACTGGGAAGAGAAAAGTGTTTAAAATGGGCCCTTGATGGGAAGGATGGGACTGTACAAAGCAGACAGGCTTAGAAGACTTACTTCTTCCTCAGTTTCGCCAAAAACTCTGGCCTCTTCAGTGCGTCCATGTCCCCTCTGTGCTGGTGATGGAACCCTTGCCTCCTCCCACTCCCACACATCACTTACTTCTTGGGAAGGTCAGTGCCAAGGAAGCTTTAGAAAGAGAGCCACGGTGTATTGTGTTCTTGGAGGCTATAGCTGCTACTGTCTTAGGCTCAGACTCAGGAATTGGCCAATGATAGGAAATCACACAGAAACTCACCAGATGCCCCAAACAATAGGAAACAGGAAGCTGACATAGCATCACAATCTCTTTATTATGATTTCCACTGTGTTCACCCCCTGGAGCATCAGCTCCTTCTAGAGTGAAAGCTGAGCGTGGGGAGGAGCATGCAGCTGGGATGATGCGGAGACAGGGCTTGGGGATGTTCCCCTCAGCTACTGTCAAGTCACCTTCCTCAGAGAAGCACAGAGGAAGGGCATGAAGGACCACAGGACATAGGACCCCACTGTTACTCGAGTGCTCTCAGAACCCACCTCACAAGCCTGAATTTGGCTGAGAGACAGAGCATCGGCCATCTTTTAAAGGAGGCTACGATATGGAAAGGCCTTGATACTTATACCTTGTTCATGTCCGTGGACACACCAACCCATTCTGTACGCACTGTGATTAGGCTTCTTAGTGGCCCAGACCAGACCTTTCACCGTCTCCATGATCTGGGTCATCAGGGCACGTGGTCCAGAGGGAACAAGGTTTTCCTTAGTGCTAGTTGGGTCCAGTGGAAATTCCATAAGCTGTTTTGAAGGTTGCCAGAAGCAGTGGCAGCAGGAAAGCAACAGCAGGGAAAGTGCCCAGTCCAGGCATGTGCATTAGTATCCTCCACTCAGGGGAGTCTCTATTGTCTAGGCTGCAGGCAAGAGCCCAGAGAGAGATCCTGGGCAAATTCACACTAAATGGCCTGGAGAAGGTAGCAATGTTAGTCCACTGTAAGAGAGGGGTGAACGGGGTGTGGTTACAGGTGCTGCCAGGATGTCCTGAAATTGTGGCATCAAGGTTGTTCTGCCTCATGGCGCCTTTACCCTGCTGGTTGGAAGAGGACATGCTTGCAGGGCCACTAGAGCCTGCTACCAGTCCTACCTGGAGGTTACTCTTGGCTCTGGGGTGGTCAGGGCTGGTCTGGGGCCCTGCCAGACAGCTTCTGCTGAGCTTCCCTCTTGGCTTTAGGGCTTCCTGGCATCACTCTTACTAAAGCTGTGAGACCTGCAATGGTTGAGGTTGTGCTTTGGCCTAAGAGGCCCAGGCACAATCCTGGGCTTACCCCCCGCGAGGCGTCCTCTTCCCAGGCAGTTTGATTCTGTGCTTCCCATATTGGTGATGGGAATGGGGGAACCCCCAGAGTTGGCCACTCAAACAAGGCCAGGGTGACATCCCACAGGGAGCACCAGGGCCAGAAAGGCCAGTGTCAGCCCTGCAGCCCCAGTCACTTGGGCTGAGGGCAGGAAGAGGCAATGTGCTCATGGCTTTGGCTGTGGCTGTCCTCAAAGGAAGAAGAGCACTTGAGAGTGGGACAGTACCTAGGAGTGAGGAACTGCTCCATCCCTGGGACCCAAAGTGATCATTGCTCAAAAGTGTAGAGCCTGGATCTGTTGGGGAAGGCTGGTCTTAGCACAGGAAGCCACGAAGCAGACCTAGAGACATCATGTGGCCATAGCTACTGTCTCAGCTGACCCTCTGTTGCTGCAGCTTCATTGTGTCATCCAGAGGTCCCTGTCCTTAAATTTGAGCATGGGGAAGAGGACGGTTGGGTGAAAACCAGGCTTGGGCAGATGGTTTTCAGAGGAGCATATATGTCACTCCAGCTTCTCTTGGTGGGGGGAGGGGGAGTTCTTGGGAAAAGCACTGATCCCAGTTTTGGTCTGCCAGGAAAAGACGGAAACATTTTCTCTTATCCTTCTTAGAGTCAGACAGCAATTTTTGTGCTTGGCAGAATTTCAGACCGTCACAGTGATGAAAGGGCTTGAAAAGGATAGAGAATTGAGTTCACTAGGTTGATAAAAGGGCTCCATGGATTAGGACACTACAAAGGGAAATCCTGAACAGGGGCTGGGGTGGGGCTTCTGCAACGCTGGATGGGGAGGACTATGGAACCTCTCCTTTGGTAAAACATTAGATGCCTACAGAAGCTGGTTGCTTTTCGATGCTTTTCTGCTTCCTGGGACTCCTGTGGACGGGGGACTCTACCTTTTGCTGCGGGCAATGTTCCCTGGGCCCTCTGCAGCATGCCCTACCAAGGAAGCTTGCTGTCCTGGAATAGGGAGAGGTGATCCCAAATGGGGCCGATCCTGTTGTGGAAGAGCTCTGGGGTCTGCTCTGCCAGGCCTAGGGATCCAGCTAGCCTGACCTGGCCCCTGGCCTGTCACCACTCACCCATGGAAAGCTAGAAGCTGCATCTCCAGAGAGACAGGCATCCCCTTGATCTGTAAAGGTCAGGGAACAAGAGGGTAGACTTCTAGTCCCTGTGACTGATGATGAGGCAGGAGAAAAAAAGCTGTCAGTTCTCAAAGTCCAGAGCGTGTCTTTACTCAAAATGCCCTGTCCACGAGATCCAGCAGCCCAAGGCCATTGATGTAGAAAGTGATTTGCCAGGAGAGTAAGCAGGAGGCCCTGTGCTTAATGTGCTTTAATCTTCTTAGGCCTGGCTGCTTCAGATGCAGTCCTTTAGCCCGAGTCATGTGCTTTCTCTTTCTTTTCTTTCTTTTGGCTGGGCTGAATAATGACCCCTCCTATTGATCATCCTGAGAGTATGGGTAAGAAATATTTACAAAAACCTGTGGGTTTTGGACCTGGCCAGTGTGTTCATTCAGCGGTTAGAGCATTGGCTTGTGCACTGAAGGGTTGTGGGTTCAATTCCCAGTCAAGGGCTCGTACCTGGGTTGCAGGTTCAATCTCTGGGCCCAGTCAGAGCGCGTTTGGGAGTCAACCAATCGATGGGTCTCTTTTACATCAATGTTTCTCTCCCCCCCCTCCCCCTTGTACTCTAAAAATAAATGGAAAAAATAACCTTGGGTGAGGATTAACAACAACAAAAATCAATATTAAAAAAGCTGTGGGTTTTGAATTTTCCAGGGTCATATACACGAACCCAGTCTCATCTTCTAGCTGTCTCATTTTAGTCCTAAATAATCCAACCTCAGAAGCTTCTCACCCTGCTTCCAGGTCAGGCAGTTTCTTCAGGAGACCATACCATACTCCTCGTTGTGGCTCCCCTCTTTCCTCTAAGCATCTCAACACTGAGCTGTATGCTACTGCTTTTGTAAACACCTAATTTAGTACAAATTACTTGAGCAATGGAGATATGTTAGCTTCTGCATATAGAGCCAACCCCCTCTCAAATAACTCTTGGTAGTCAGATCTGGCTAAACCTGCCATTAGGTTGGAAACAGAAACCTGAACCCAAGGACCAGGGCTGACCCACAACAGGCACCGACTTGAGAACTTAGGAAGGATTGCTGGGGCGTGGAGGCCAGGCTTGGTGGCCTTGTGGCAGCCTCTGCTTGTCCCCAAAGGTCTCCCATTCTAGGCCCAGGCCTTATCCTGGTGGAGAAGAACATGTAGCAAACAGTGGGGAGAAGTAGCAACTCAGGCTGTATCTCAGTGATGGGGAGAAGAGAAAACAGTCCTTCTGTGAGGCTTTGCTGGAATTTTATCTGCTTAAGAGAGCTGAGATGCAGATCCTCGTCTTCGATCCAGCCTCTTATCCTCTTTGCCAGGGTGGTTGAAAGAAGTCCCTCCTCAGAGTTTCTGTGGAGCTGTTCTTTCTTCGTCTGTGGAAGAGGCTGGCTCTGTTCTCCACACAATGGCACACTTTTCTAGGTCTACAGTTGAGTTGAGCTGGAAGCATGAGCCTTCGCCTCTTTTCTTCCATCCAGACCTTGTCCTCACTGGAGCTCAGGCTGCAGGTCTCCCTGGTAGCTGACTTGGGTGAAGCATGTAACACAGAGGGCGGTGACTCCTGCCATCATACTTATTCCATTCAGGCCCCGTGGGCTCTGGGCCATGAGCTCGCATCTGAAAAACAAGGGCCAGGATGGCTCACCTTGATTTTTGGCAGCTCTTCTAAAGACTTTAAAAGGACTTGAATGACCTGGCTAAGAAGTTCCTAGACTTCTGGGTCCCTGGGAGGGACTGCCTCCCCCTTTTCTAATTAGGGCTCCACAGACTCGTTACCTTCTCTGTTACCAGGAATTGGAATTTAAGTAAATCATGTGCTGAAGTGCAGTGGTGGTTTTTAACCATTTCCCACCCCAACACCCCTGAGGGACATAGCACACACCTACCAGAACAGTGGCTCAGCACAGGAGGGATTTTCAATGGGGGAAAGGGAACCTGTCAGCATCTCCAGGACAGCTCGTGGGTCTGATATGCCCCTTATTAAGAATCGCTTGGCCAGTGTCTTATCTAATGGAATTGGAACTGGCCAATAGAATGGGGTGAGTCAAGACCCCTCATCTATACCAGTGGCTTCACAAAGGAACTTTGGTCCTTTTAAACCAAAAGAACCAGGTCTCTGAAGGCATGGGCTGCAAGGGGTGAGTGTGCAGGCATATACATGTGCAGTGGTGGGTCCCGTCTATCATGTGGAGGTGGGTGGGTGTGTCCGGGACTGGTGCTGCCACAGCTCCCAGGGCATCTCCCTGTGGCAGTGCGTTTACTGCCTCTGCTGTGAGGGGAATGGTGATTTCAGTGCCATAACTTGGTGAAAAACTGAGATGCTGGCAGTGCTCCGTCCTCCTAAGCCTCAGTACCAGAGGTTGGTGGGGGAGAGGGAAAAGGGAAAAGGAGAGAATGCCACTGTCCCAGAATTCAGCTTCTCTGCTCCATGCTATCCTGGGGGTTTCAGGTGAATGGCTGCGCTGTTTGGGCGGGCAGCCAAGATGTAGATGACATTCTCCCGCAGGAAGGTAGGCCAGTCCACAGATCTAGAATAGAATCAAAGCGCAGGTTTGTGAGGCTGTTGCAGAGCCCGGAGGCGCATGAGACCTGATCCCAGTGTCAGTGCGGCTTGAGTTGGACAAAACTCCAGGAGCCCTGGATTGTGCCTGACATGGTTATGGCCAACTGTGCTTCCAAGCTGACAGACCAGCTGGCAGGCCCTAAGGATCTGTGGTCAAATGTGCACTCCTGGAGCCTGGTGTCTGAGGTGGGCACTTACTGTTTGGGGGTGACAATGGGCAATGCCCTCTCTTACTTGTGTGTATTGGGTGGTTGGGGGAGCACACAGCCAGTTGAGGAGATCCCACTCACCTGGATTCACGCTCTGTGGGCATCAGGGCCTTGTCCTGACTCTTGCTGCTGCTGCTGGCTGGGCTGCTGTCTGCTATGGGACCCACATGGCTGATGCTGTTGGGCATAAGGGCATTGGAGTGAAAAGCCTGGCACCTCCCAAACTCTGGTGAACCCATGTGCACGTCTAGGCTTTCTGATATGGGACAACAGTTTGGAGTAGAGACGGCCCCATGCCTTGGCCAGTAGGGGTCACTGTCCTCTGTCTAATGCACAGGAGGATCCTCTCCTGGCTGTTGGCAGGAGAAGCAGGGAGGTACATTTCCTATTCGTGGCCACTTGGGTGGGAAAGGAGGAGGGTATGTAGTGGGGGCAGGGATTGGTAGGGAGCGGACCTGACACTGGAGGAAGGAGCCTCTGGGAGGAGTTTGTGGAACCACGAGTGCCGAGCACGGTGGCACTCTGCCTCACTGATGGTGCTCCCACTGCCCCACGCCAGGAAGGTGGCCCGGGCTCGCTCCCGCTCCTTGACTGTCAGGAGCCTTAACAGAGAGTTCTGAGGAAGAAGAGACAAGTTAAGATCTCGGAGGTAAAAATATTTTGTAAACTGTCAAGCCACAGAGAATTTTACCTCCATTACCACCTCTGCAACCTCCCTTTGCGGCAGCCCAGAGCCTTTCTGGTAACACCAACATTTGCAGTGGGGTCCAGTGCAGATCAGTCTTCCTTGGGCAGTTTCCTCGGCCTAGGCACTGGGTCACCTGCCACTGGATGGCACCTGAGCCCTTTTCTGGTACTGGTCCCTACTCAGAGAGTACCCGGTGTTCCCCCAACCTGCCCAGCATGCTTCCAGGTGTCTGTCACCCAGTATCCCATAGACATTCACCTCAGCTGGCCCTTACCTGGGGACGCAATTGCTGCAGAAGCAGGAGGGACTCATGGGACAAGAAGTCAGGCCACTCTATGTGTCCTCGATGTTCAGGGTCCAGGGCTGCAAACTGGCGGGCTGCCTGCTCCTCTTGCTCCTCGCTTAAAGCCCTGTCACTGTCCCCCCGCTTTGCTGCTTGGTGGCGGTAGCGCAGGAAGTCCTCCCGCGTCAGAGAGCAATCTATGGGGAGGTACCGCATGCTAGCCATGCCCACTCCTTCCTCATCCGATGGGGCACCTCCATTCACCTCTAGGGTACCCTCCAGAGCCCCTATATCCACAGCTCTTGTAGAGTCTTTATCTCCCATCACTAGATGACTCAGGCTGTGGCTGGGTGTGGGTGCCCCTGCTGGCCAACAGCTTGGGAACAGGGACCTATTTACCCCTTAACCCCCAAATTCCACGATATTCCTTTCATCCTGGAAAGTATGATGGAGAAATCAGCCCAGCCCCTCTCCATCCAGCAGCACCATCCGGCCTTACCAGGGATGACTTTGCACTGCTGAAAGGTCTCTGTGAGGCTATACATCTCCTCCTCGGTTAGCAGCAAGTTGAGATTGTTCTGAGGAAAAAGAAAAGGAAGAGCTGAGTCAGTGGCCACACAGGCCAGTAAGAAAGACAGGCCAAAGAGCCAGAGGAATGGAAACAGTATGTCAACTGGAAGGCAATCCTGAGGCCATGTAAACCTAGTCTCCCATTCACAGTCAAGGGGAAAGGGGAAAGGGCTTGCTTAGAGTTGCTCAACTGTGGGGCAGGGTCTTCCCCAGAACCAGGTACCCTGACTCCAGACCTGAGTCCCTTTTACTAAAACAGTTATTTAAAATTATTTTCTGAGGTTCTCTGGAAGTGCCTTAGGAAGCTGTTGCAAGCGAGAAAGCGGACTAGAAAGTGGAGTTGTGAATCCCTGGCCCCATCCACCAGGGAAGCTCCATCTTTATCCATTTTAGGGAACTGGCGTCTGTGGTAGATGGTGCTCAAGAGTATTTTAGCTTAAAATAATTTTAACTGTAACTCTGCTCCTAATGGGTTGTATCACTCCAAAGTGGTTTTGAAAGAGATGCCATTATGACAAAGTTCCTAGAATCAAATGAGGTTTTTTTTGTGTGGTGCCATAGAAGTTTTAATTCCAAAAGAGCACTGATGTGTTATTTTGTTAACATTCATTGACACTATCACAGTCTTTAAAATATCAAAGATTCTTTCTAGTAAGTTATTTCCCTCCTCCCCTAAAATGCCAGCAAAGAATAGGAAGCAGACATTTCATGAATATTCATTTGTGCATTTCATAAAGAACTCAAACCATTCTTTCAGTAAACACTTACTGAGAACGTTGTACATGCTGGGCACAGTGGTGTGTAACGCTGTGAGATGTGCACTAAGGCTGGAGTGTAGCGTATGTGTGTGGGGAGAGCAGGAAGGAATGATAAAAGGGAGGGGAAGTAGGCAGAAGCCTGGCTATGATACCTCAAATACCCTTTATGGAACCCCTCAAATTGGGCCTTTATTCTGAGCGCAAAGGGGAGTCACTGAAGGGTTTTGAAGTGTGGAGTGCCACTGTGAAATTTCTGACTGCTGTGTGGAAAATGGATTAGAGGGGCAAAGCCTGGAGGCATGGAGAGCAGTTAGGTGGCTGTGTATAGTATAGATGAGTGGCTAAACTAAAGCATGAGAATGGAGAGAGTTGAGAGGTATTAGGAAGTTGGATCAATAGGACCTGTTGACCTACTAGATGTGAGGAATTAAAGAGAGAAATAAGTTGGGATTGGTAACTGGGAGGTAGGGTGAAGTGGTATTCACAGAGATAAGAAATGGAAGGAGAACAGGTTTTAGGAGAAAGATAAGTTCATTTGGGGGCATGTTGAATATGAAGTACATGTAAAGCATAGATATGAATATAAGGCCAAGAGACAGAGAAAATTTAGTTTTGGACACACAGATTTGAGAATCACTAGTGTTTAGATAAGCGGTTCTCAACCTGTGGGTCGCGACCCTTTGGGGGTTGAACGACCCTTTCACAGGAGTCGTCTAAGACCATCGGAAAACACATATATAATTACATATTGTTTTGTGATTAATCACTATGCTTTAATTATATTCAATTTGTAACAATGAAAATACATCCTGCATATCAGATATTTACATTACGATTCATAACAGTAGCAAAATTATAGTTATGAAGTAGCAAGGAAAATAATTTTATGGTCGGGGGTCACCACAACATGAGGAACTGTATTAAAGGGTCGTGCCATTAGGAAGGTTGAGAACCACTGGTTTAGATGGTGGCTAGAGGAGGCCAGGGATGTTGTTAAAAATCCTACAATGCACACAGCTCCCACAACAAAGAATTACTGTGCCATAAATCTCAGCAGTACTGAAGTAGAGAAATCCTGTCCTAGCTCTAGGACCCTTACATCTACTATTGGAAAACTCTTTAGGTCACTGCCTAGAAACTGGTGTCCTAAGACTGAGCCTCCAGAAACAGTGCCATGTCCTCTGAGGTGCAACAGCCCGTGGCCCCTGCAGTCCAGGCTCACACAGTAGTGGCAGCTCCAGCCTGTTTCCGTGTGTGCCATCTCGGTCACCTCTGCCGCGCTGTCTCCTTGGATGTAGCCCATGCGACGCAGGCAGCCGTCATGAAAAACCCTGGTGCAGACCCTGCACGGGAAGAGGCTCTCGGCCGTCCAGACCTCGCAGACATCACACATCTCATCACTGACGACCTGGGGAAAGATGGCAGGAATGAACGGGGATGTGCAGCAAGATCCTCGGCCACCAAGCACAGAGCTCCCCATATAGGGCTGCGTCTCCCCGGAGCAGCCGAGGGAAACAGCTCCAACTGGAGGCAGTGTTAAGGCAGTATTTCTCATCTTGTCTCTGGAAGACAAGAACCAGCAGGCTCTTCCAGCTGCTCAGGCCTGTGTGACCATGTTTCTCAACAGGAATGCTACTACCATTTTTGGAAAGAATAATCTGTTGTGAGAGATTGTCCCAGGCATTGCCGGACACTTAGCATCCTGATTTTCTTGGCACCAAATACCAGTAGCAACTCCCACAGTTATCGTGACCTCCCCAACTCTCCCCACCCCACTAATTTCCAAATGCTCCCTCCACGGGGTAGTACTATCCCTAAGGTGGGAAGGCTGGCGGAAGACCTGCCATGGTGTCATTCCTTGTCACCTTCTGCCTCAAGTCTTTCACTAAGACTAATCCAGAAGGTAACTAACAATTTTATTCTTGTGGCAGAAACTCAAAGATCGTTCTAGAGTGAACGCCATCTTTCTGGTTTTGAGCCTCACTTTAACCATACCCAGCCCTCCCTGTCCTGCTTCCTGATCCTCAGAAGGTCTAAAACTTGGTGAATCTTCCCTAACTGGACACTCACAGGCTCTCTGGGTTCCAAGCAGATATCTGGAGGCTTGTCATCATCCAGCTTCCGGGTAGGGCGGATGAAGGCAGGAGGGGTAAAACGATTGTTCCTGTCAAACTCCTCAGGTTCCACTCCGCGCCCGTCTCGGAGCCTCTCCCAGGCTGCACGGTTGATGCTGCTCTCTTCTTGGAGCACGGAGGTGCTTGCCTCTGCTTCTTTCTCCTCCTGCACCTCCTGGACAGAGCCCTCTACAGTGTCATGGTGGGACCCTGGAAGCTCACCTGTGCGTTGGTTGGAAGGCCTGTCCCGCAGCCCATCCTTGAAAGCAGACACAGCCAGGCTCACCTTCTGCACCTGCTCCACTGTCTGCCGCTTGGACATCAACACCCCCATGGCTCTGTGAGCAAAAAGCAGAGGGGCCCGGACTCAGCTAATGGCTGACCATGTTGAGCCAATCAGCTTCAAGCATTTACCTAAGTGGCAAATGTTATTAAATAGCTTCTCTCTCTCTCTCTCTCTCTCTCTCTCTCTCTCTCTCTCTCTCTCTCTCTCTCTCTTAGAGAGTAGAAGGGAGGGAAGGAGAGAAACATTGATGTGAGAGAGACATATCAATTTGTTGCCTCCTGCACGTGCCCAGACTGGGTGGGATTAGACCTGCAACCCAGGTACGCCCCCTTGACCGGGAATTGAACCTGTGACCCTTAGTATGTGGACTGATGTTCTAACCACTGTGTAACACAGACCAGTGCAGTTTCTTTTTTTTTCTAACTCGGTAGTGGTGGGGTAGAAAGAGCAATTGTTAAGGAGTCAGAAGACCTTGGTTCTACTTCTGACTGGTCTTGTGACTTGGCTTTTTTCCCCATCTATGAAATGAGGCTCTTGGCTCACTGTACTTCATAGGGCTGTCATGAAGATAACATTAGTTCATGGGCTTACCTGTGCTTAATAGACTGGGAAGCATGATGGTATTATCCATCCTGTCCCAAAGCCAGTTACGTTCAGGGATCCCAGGCCTCCACTCCTTTGAGGTAGTTGGAGACCTCAGAGCCCAAGTCTCTCTTCTGCCCCACAAGATGACCCAAGGCTTAATGTAAGACTACAGCAACATATTTCAGCCTTCTGATTTAAGGGAAGCTCCTCCAGTAAGAGCTGTGCACAACCCACCCAGGGATAATCCACATCAAATGCCTACTTTTTGAGTCAGAGTGAATGAACTCCTATTTCCAGAGGATTCCTGAATAGGTAGTCAGGAAACGCTACCATGTGGTCAAAGTCACAAACTCTCCTTTGCCCCCTAATTAATAGCTGCGCCTCTTTAGGGGTCTGATTATCTCTTAGTCCACCCAACAACTGGCCCATGACAAGCTCTAAGGTGCTTCTCACATTTGTGAGGCTTTATTCATGTCACTCTCACATTTTTCTGCTTTGATTTTTCTGAACCTTTCAAGAAAGGTCCATATCCTTTACAGGTTAAAAAGTAACGTCATCCCTGCTCTTCCTCTGCAGAGCATGGCACTGGAAATTGAGGGCACATTGCAAAGCTGTTTGCTATTTCCCAGCCTGAGGGGCCTTAGTGGAGTCAGCTGGGGTGGGGGTGGGGAATGCTTGTTCTACGTAAAGTGGAGCAGAGTCCATTTTAGCCTTGCTCTCTATCCATTATAATCAAGGCTTATTGAACAGTACTTTGTGCAAGGCACTAACCACTCATCATAGGAAACAGAAGACAGGAGAAGTCTTACCACTCAAGCTACTTAATATCAAAACTCAAAGAAGAATAAGACAAAGTGCTGAAGTGCTTAAACGAAGTGAGACCACACTACTGGGAGTCAGTGTGGATCCTGAAGGATGGGTCAGAAGTTACCCTCTGTTTGTTTGTGGGAAAAGGTGACAGAGGTAGGAGAAAAGGTTAGGGCCAATTAGAAGGCTATTATAATAGTCCAGACAAGATGTAGAGGGTTTAAACGGAAATGATGGCAGCAGGAATGATGATGACTAAGTGTATTTGATAGCATGTAAATAGAATTGGAGAAACTTAGGAATAAAATAATTGATTGGTCAAGGGTAAAGAGAGAGAGGGTAGTTTTATATTTACTTTCCAGCTTTATTGAGATATAAGTGACATATAACATTGTATAAATTTAAGGTGTACAATGTGATGATTTGATACACACACACACACACACACACACACACACACACACACACACACACACACTAGGGGCCCAGTGCACGAATTCATGCACCTTGAAAGGAACTGTGGGCCACAAGGCTGCGGTGGGCACAGGGGCGGGTCTCGGCCCATCCTCCAAGCCCTTGCCCAGCCCCTCCTGCTATGGCCCCTGGTCCCCTGTATGCATGCCGGCAGCCTTGCTCCCGCCTCTGCTCCCATGCACTGACAGCACAGGCCACTCGCACCGCTGAAGGCGCAGAGTGATTGGGGCCAGCGCCAGGAGCGGGTGTGAGCGGGCCGGCGCTATCAGTGGGTGCAAGTGGCCGCTGCTGCCCTGATCGCCCTTCAAGAGCAGGGGGAGGTGGAGAAGCCTTCAGGGACGATCAGTGCTGGCAGCCGCTGCTCGCACCCGCTGATGGCGCCCAGTGAGCAGGGCAGGCGCTGGGCATCAGCACCCGGTGCATGCGGGGCCAGCGCTGGCAGCAGGTGCAAGCACTAAGCGGGACCATGGCGTGTGGGAGCAAAGAATTTTCAGTAACCACTAGAGGCTCACCCCGATGACAGCGACTGGCGCCCCGCCTTGGTCTGTTGCCCTCGCTCACCTGCTCCACCATCCCGCCGTGGCCAACGCCTGCCATGTTTTGTGCACACCCCCTGGTGGTCAGCACACATCATAGCTACCAGTTGTTTGGTTGTTTCACCATTCGGTCTATTAGCATATTAGCCTTTTAATATATAGGATTGTGAAGCTTTACTATAATAATGTTACTTAGCACATCTTTTACCTCACATAATTATTATATTGTTGTTATGGTGAGAACATTAAAGTTGAACTCTTATTGCAACTTTCAAGTATATAATACAACATTGTTAACTAAAGTCATCATGCTGTACCTTAGATCCTGGAACTTACTCATCTTGTAACTGAATGTTTCTACCCTTTAGCCAGCATCTCCCCATTTCTCCGATCCTCCAGTGTCTGGTAACCATCTGTTTCTATGAGTTCAATGTCTTTTGATTCCACATATAAGTGAGACTATACAGTATTTCATTCAGTCTTTCTCTGACTTATTTTTTAAAATAATTTTTATTGAATTTATTGGGGTGACATTGGTTAATAAAATTATATAGGTTTCAAGTGTACAATTCTTTAAAAATGTGACCTAATGAGGGTATCCAGCCAGGCTGGGGTTGGGGGTTGGGTTGGAGAGGAAGGCACATGTGTATGTTAGAGCTTTTGTGGAGGCTATGGACCTAGGGGATTCTTGAAGAGGAAAGGCCTATGTTCCCCTCACAAGCAGAGCTGTGCTCTATAGTTAGGTGGGAAAGCAAGTCCCAGTAGGCAGTGAGAAGAGCAGGAACAGGCACGCCACACCAAGAGGGACAATGCAAAATGACACGCACCTTCACTGCAGACCTTCCTCATGATCAATTACTATTTCCAAGGCCACAATATTTTCCTCAGAAACCTTTTGTGGTATGTTTTCCAAAATTTTTAACTGTGACCCATAGTAAGAGATGTAGTTTATGATGTGAACCTGTACACACATAGTTATAAACACATGTTCATAGAACTGAAACTGAACCCAAACTTTTGTGAAACAATCCTACTTTTACTATACGTGCTGTTCTCTGAGATTTTCTATCTCCTCTATTCTATTTCATTAAAATAACCCTGATAGTGACTCTCTAAAATGATTTCATGACTTGCGAATGGGTCTGGACCTGCAATTTGAAAAAACACAGCCTTAGGATCATTTTACATTTTTGATTAGAGAACTACACTTTTTGTTGTTGTTAATCCTCATCCGAGGCTACTTTTTCCATTGTTTTTAGAGAGAGTAAAAGGGAGGGAGAGAGGCTTCAAAACTGAGGCTATAATCCTTAATGCTTAACAGAGAGGCTCAAACCTGCATACAAAAGACACCTTGACTAACAGCAAAAATGTGCTGAAATATTCATGATGTGTACCATCAGTGTTTGAGAAATTGACAACATCAGGTCTAATTTCCAGAGGAACAAGTGGTAGTGATTAGCGATGCTAAAAAATGCCTGGTGAGAAAACCCTGGCCTCCCCTGTGCTGGAAGAAATCCTAGGAAGAAGAGAGAGTTAAAAGGAAATCAAGTTACAAAGGTCCCATAAATTATACCTAATGATTACTTGTTTGGCTGGTGGGTATAATTGGGGCTTTCTGCCTCCCTAACAAGGATGAAAGGGATAAAAAGACATTGTCCTCAGAATGCTATGACTGTCAGAGAATTTGTAGTCTCTAGGGAAGGCTTGGAAAAACCCTCAGGGGGCAGGAGCAGGTGGTGTGAATGGCAGAAGGATAAGAAGGCAGAAGGTAGAATAGGGCTGTCTGATCTGGAGGAAATGAAAATAGATGACAACCAGAATCTTTCTTAGGGTAAGAGAAGTCTGTGTAGATGTATTTTTCAGGCAGTGAGGCATATGTGTGCAGCTTGGAATGTGTGCGCAAGACACGCCCATTCTCCGCAGAGCCCGTGCGTACACCGGCAGTGGGATTATTTATAAGGGTAACGTGGAGGGGATAGGAGGAGGAGGGGCTGCTTCGCAGCCAGAGCTGGTAGAGAAATAGGAAGGCCATAAAGATTCATAGCTGTGAGGAGCCTGGGGCACAGCCTTCCTACTGGGCAGGAGTCTCCACGCTTGGCACGCGGCTTGCTGGCTCGCTCGCTTTCAGCTGATTCTTGATATGGGAATGGCAGCTGTCTGGAAAAGGCTCAAAAGCAACTAAAAGTGATTGCCTGGATGGTTATGAGGGCTTCCCTCGGCAGGAGCAAGACAAAGAAAACCTCTGAGTTGAGGGACAGGAAAACCAACCAAGTGGGTTGAGCAGGTGGGAAAAGGAATCCTAGTTTTTCACTGAGACCAAGAGGGAGAAAAATCTAGATGGCTCCCCTGCTTTCCAGGGAGTGGCTGTTCTAGAAATCTTTGTTGGAGTAAATGTTGCAGAGATGACCAGGCAACGTAAGCTTATTTGAGATCATGGTATTAGCCGCCCTTTTCTTCCTCAGCGTTGGCCAGAGAGACTGATCTGGCAAAATTTTCAAAACTCAGTTCTAGAAACTGCACAGTCACCAGCTCATCTCATCTACTCTGCTTCCCCAGAGGTGACCCACCCTAACTAGTGAGTCAGGGCTACTGGGGATGAGAACAGGTAACCATACAATAGTTATGGGTAATTTCTCCGACAAATTCCAGA